ATCTAATCTGAACCCCAGAGAGAAAAAAGAGTGAACATAGCATCAAGGCCCTGTGGGTCAATACCAAAATATTTAACGTTTGTATCATTGAAGTCCCAAAAAAGAGAGGAGAAAGTAAATGCAGAAGAATATTTGAAGAAATAATGGCTGAAAAATTCCCAACTTTAGTGAAAGACAAACATATGGATCCATGAAGCTCAGCAAACTCCAACATGATAAACTCAAAGAAATCCCTGCCTGGAAACTTTATAATCAGAGTGCTGAAAACTAAAGACAAGGGGAAAAAAAATCTCAAAAGCAGCCAGAGAAAGATGATTATAACACATAGGGCAACAGTGGTTTGAATAACTGGATTTCTCTTCAGAAACCATGAAAGCCAGAAGGAAGTAGAACTTTTTTAAAGTGCTCAAAGAAAAGAACTGTCAACTCAGAATTCTATGTCCAGTAAAAATAGCCTTCAAGAATGAAGTGCTCTCATCATAAGAAAAAGAGATTTTGTAACTGTGTGTGGTAATGGATGTTAACTAGAATTATTGTGGTGATTATTTCACAATATATACAAATATTGAATCGTTACGTTGTACACCTGAAACTAATATAATGTTGTATGTCAATTTATACCTCAATTAAAAAAAAATGTGGCTAAACCAATGTTAGACAAAAAAAGAAAAAAAAAGAATGAAGGTGAAATAAAGTTTCTCATATGAAGGAAAACTAAGAAAATTTATTGCCAGATCTCTAAAGAATTACTAAAGGAAGTTCTTCAGATAGAAATTATACCAGAAGAGAACTTGGAACATCAGGAATGAAGGACGTACAACAGAAATGGTAAATATATATATATATGTAAATACAATCGACTGTTCTCGAGTTCTTTTAAATATCTTCGACAGGTGAAAACGAAACTAATAACTTAGGTTTACTAAACAGAACAGAATTTGAACATAGATGATCTGGCTTCAGAGACCATGTTCTTAACTACTGTAATATACTGCAATTAGATAAACTATAAGGAAAACTTTTATTGAAGTATTAAGCCAAATGTTTCACCTGTTCTTCTTGACCTTTCTTCCTCCTGTCCCATCCCTCCTTCATCATTATCATAGGTAACAATTCTTGAGCAGTTAACTTGTGCCAGGTACCGTATGCCTGTTACTTCATTTAATTCTCACAGTTCTGCTGTGAGGTAGGTGCTAAAATTATTCCCAGTTTTCAGATGGGGAAATTGAGGCACATGGGAGTTAATTAACTTGGCCATAATCACCCAGCTAGTCAGTGTTAGAGTCTGATCTCTTTAGAGTAGTCTGAGCTTTCTCTCTGGTTTAGTTCAATACTGGTATTTTATTTAAAACTCATATGTAGATATTGATATAAGTGAACTCACAAAATAAGAAATAGAAAATCTGCCAGCAACCACAGAGTGGATGACTGGCATCATCTTGCTGGTTGGTTAGGAAATTCATCCTGTATAATAAAACACAGGTTGCTTGACATGAGCTTATCTCACATACTCTCTCCTGATACTTCTTAGCAGATTTTCAAAAACCAACTTTCCACATGTGTTCTCTCCTAATCCAAATGTATTTTTATTTGAAAAGAAAAGAATATGTGGCTGGCCCGGTGGTGTAGCGGTTAAGTTCGCACGGTCCACTTTGAAGACCCGGGGTTTGCCGGTTTAGATCCTGGGCACAGACCTACTCACTGCTCATCAAGCCATGCTGAGGCGGTGTCCCACATAGAAGAACTAGAAGGACCTACAACTAGGATATACAACTGTGTACTGTGGCTTTGGGGAGAAAAAAGAAAAAGAGGAAAATTGGCAACAGATGTTAGCTCAGGGCCAATCTTCTTCAAAAAAACAGAATATTGCTAGGCATTTCTTTCATTTTTTTAGGCACACTTCTTCACATCTCAAGAACACTAAGATTTCTTAGAATATATTGTGGAGATTGAAATCATGTTCATTAGGTCAGCATCCTTGCTTGAAATTTTCTCTTGCAGTCCTAGAGCTCTTTAATTTGTCTATGTAGAGAAGTGATCCAGCTCCTAACCCAGATAATAATTTGGTACTTGGAGATACCCTGTTGTGAATACAGTCAACATTTTTTCATGTGAGAATGTCTTCTCACTGCCACAAAATTGTAAATGCTCCAAGAACAGAGAGTATCTCTCATATTTTTTCTTTTTCTTGATACATACAATATAACTGGGCAGAAAAGTTGTCCAGTAACTACCTGACCTGATCATTTAGACTCCCAGTGCAATTACTTATACACAATATTTTTATCCAAAAGTGTAAACAGCATAACCCTTTGCCTTAGAGCCAGCTAAGTGAGGGCATGAATACTGATTGAGCAAGATTATATTTGTGTCATTTCAGGATTCATTGACTTTCACAGATGTGGCCATAGACTTCTCCCAAGATGAGTGGGAATGGCTGAATCTTGCTCAAAGGAGTTTGTACAAGAAGGTGATGTTGGAGAACTACAGGAACCTGGTTTCCTTGGGTAAGAGTATCTTCCTCCTTCCACCTCCCCATAACTCAGTAGCCCTTCATGCCTTTATCAGCATTTTCCTACAATGCCACTTTTCTCTCAATACCATTTCGACTGGGTCATAGCTCTGGAATATTCGTAGCATAAAAAATTTTCTTATTTTTTCCTCTATGCAGGTCTTTGCATTTCTAAACCAGATGTGATCTCCTTATTGGAACAAGGTAAAGAGCCCTGGATGATGAAAAGAGAGATGACAAGAGGTCTATGCCCAGGTAAGTGCAGGATAACTAGAGCTGGGAAACTATTCTCAAGATTTTTGTTCTGTTTGGTACTTGTTGGAAAACACCTCTCAAAATCCCTCCCAAATTGGAACTTTTTGTTCTTTACACCATTTTTTGAATGGATCTTCTCTTCCCCACTGGTGTGACATACCACCTTTACCTTTACGAATTTCCTGCAAATACCACAGTCTGTTTCTGAACTCTGTTATGTTCCATTGATGTTTACCTAGTTCTGCTCAAGTACCATATTGTCATAATAATCCCTGACTTTCAATATTTCTGAATTCTTTAGACAAATTTGTGTTTATTTTTTGAACTGGTTTAAATATTTTTCTTTTCTTTAAAAGGTGAGTTTATTGGGTTAACAGTATTATAGCTATGTTCTTCCCTCTGCTTTTAATTATTTTTCTCTTTGGTGTTTTTTGTTGTTATTTATTTTTGTTTTGTTGTTTATGTCTGTTGTTTCTTTATTTCCTCTTCACACCATCCCACCCCTTGATTTGGAAAGGTTTTTAGTCTTAAAGTTGTTCCCTTATGTCTTTATATAATTTTTAAATCTGTATTTTAAAATTCATTCACTTGAAATTCAAAACATCATCTTTTGATACCCATACGAAAGATGAGGAAATTAGCTCACTAACGTTACCTCCTTCCTCTTCATCCATCATCTCCCCACTTTTATTGTACTCATTGGGATTTTGGCCCAGTGTACTTTCCTCAAGTTTATTTATTTATTTATTTTCCCTGCCTTGCTTGAGAGCCATTTTTCTGGTTTAGAAAGCTAGATAAGAGACTATAAATATATATTGCAGGGAAATGAGCCTCAAGTGAGATGGTTACAGTTTATTTTGTGGCCTGTAGTGTGGCCTAATTTCTTGTTTTCAGTTCTCATAGTTTCAAGAAGAGGATTGTTGGTAGGTCACTTGTAGCCCTAACTATGTACATTAATAAATAAATAATAAAAAATAAATGAATTAAGTATTCAATTCAAGATATTAGAAAAAGAACAAAATGATTCTAAGGAAAGTCAAAATAAGTTACGTATAGTAATTTATACTTCTAGAGATAAAAGTAGGAATAAATCAGTTAGAAAACAACAGATCTAATGAAAATAAATAGGTACTAATTTAGAAAACCAATAAAATATATAAACTGTCAGGACAAATGAGAGAAAACACAAAAAAGAAATAATGATAAATAACCATAGATGCATAAGTACTTAAAAGAATCATATAAATCTATTTCCTCAACTCTCTGTAAATAATTTGAAAACATAGATGAAATGGATGATATTTTAGAACATAAATGATCACAACTGACACCAGAACAGATAGGAAATTTAAACAGACCAGTTAGCTTAGAAGAAATATAGAAAGTTGTCTAAGAATTGCCTCCCCAAGAAAAGAAGCAACAACCCCAAATAGTTTCACAAATCATCTCTATAAAACCTTGAAGGAAAAGTATCACCAACGTTGGTTAAAATGTTCCATGACAGAGAATAAAAAGGAGAACTTTAAAAAAATGTGTTTATAAGGACAGCATAACATTTGATACCACAATAGCACAAAAAAAGAAATTACAGACAAATCTGAATTATGAAATGGTGCAAAATCTTAAATTAGAAGTCATATTGAAATAATATACCATAGCCAAGGAAGGTTTATTCCAGAAATGCAAATATGATTGCATTGCCTAGCTTTATCTAAGAGCTTTCAAAAACATGCCCTTCTCGCACCCTTCAATGTTTGATTCACATGGTTTTATTTTGGAAGTTTCCATTCTTCTAGAATTAAATAAAGGAGACATTTGCTTTCTTAATATTTTTCAGACTTGGAATATGTGTGGATGACCAGGGAATTATCTCCAAACCAGGACATTTATAAAGAAAAATTATCCCAGGCAATGCTAATGGAAAGACTTACAAGCTATGACCTTGAATGTTCCACATTAGGGGAAAACTGGAATTGTGAAGACCTGTTTGAGAGGGAGCCGGTAAGTAGGAAGACACATTTTAGGAAAGAGACAGTCACCCATATAGATACCCTTCTTGAGAAAAGAGACAACTCTAACAAACCTGGGACAGTTTTTCATCTGAATACATTATCTTATATAAAACAAGTATTTCCCATGGAAGAGAGAATATATACTTTTGACACAGATAAGAAAATCTTAAAAACACATTCATTTCTAAAAAAACACAAACAAGTCTATGGAGAAAAGAAACTTTTGAAATGTAATGACTGTGAGAAAACTTTCAGCAAAATCTCAACCCTTACTCTTCATCAAAGAATTCATACCGGAGAGAAACCCTATGAATGTACTGACTGTGGGAAGGCTTTTATCCAGAGTGCCCACCTTGCTCAACATCAGAGAATACACACAGGAGAAAAACCTTTTGAATGTACTGAATGTGGGAAAGCCTTCAGCCAGAATGCTCATCTTATTCAACATCAGAGAGTTCATACTGGAGAAAAACCTTATCAATGTAAGCAGTGTAATAAAGCCTTCAGCCAGCTTGCACATCTTGCTCAACATCAGAGGGTTCATACTGGAGAGAAACCCTATGAATGTATTGAATGTGGAAAGGCTTTTAGTGATTGTTCATCCCTTGCTCATCATCGAAGGATTCACACTGGGAAAAGACCTTATGAATGTATTGACTGTGGGAAAGCTTTCAGGCAGAATGCATCTCTAATACGTCATCGGAGGTATTATCACACTGGAGAGAAACCCTTTGATTGCATTGATTGTGGGAAGGCTTTCACTGATCACATAGGACTTATTCAGCATAAGAGAATTCATACTGGAGAGAGGCCTTACAAATGTAATGTATGTGGGAAGGCTTTTAGCCACGGGTCATCCCTGACTGTGCATCAGAGAATTCATACAGGAGAGAAACCTTATGAGTGTAGTATCTGTGAGAAGGCCTTCAGCCATCGTGGCTCACTTACTCTTCATCAAAGAGTTCATACTGGAGAGAAACCCTATGAATGTAAGGAATGTGGGAAAGCTTTTAGGCAGAGCACACACCTCGCTCATCATCAGAGAATTCATACTGGAGAGAAACCTTATAAATGTAAGGAATGCAGCAAAACCTTCAGCCAGAATGCACACCTTGCACAACACCAGAAAATACACACTGGAGAGAAACCTTATGAATGTAAGGATTGTGGTAAGGCCTTCAGTCAAATTGCACACCTTGTTCAACACCAGAGAGTTCATACTGGCGAGAAGCCTTATGAATGTATTGAATGTGGGAAGGCCTTTAGCGATGGCTCCTATCTTGTTCAACATCAGAGACTCCACACTGGCAAAAGACCATATGAATGTCTTGAATGTGGGAAGGCATTCAGACAGAGGGCATCCCTGATTTGCCACCAAAGGTGTCATACAGGCGAGAAACCTTATGAATGTAACGTTTGTGGGAAAGCCTTTAGCCATCGTAAATCCCTTACTCTGCATCAAAGAATTCATACAGGAGAGAAACCTTATGAGTGTAAGGAATGTAGGAAAGCCTTCAGCCAGATTGCCCATCTTACACTACATAAGAGAATTCATACTGGAGAAAGGCCCTATGAATGTAAAGAATGTGGAAAAGCCTTCAGGCAGAGTGTACATCTTGCTCATCATCGGCGAATTCATACTGGAGAGTCATCCTCAATTATTCCTTCCTGCTCACCCCCATACCACCAAGTCCTCTAAATTCAATCTTCTAAATACCTCTGGAATCCATCTGCTTTTTTCCAGTCCATGTCCCATCATGATAGTCCAAGACCCAACCATCTCATTTGGATTTCTGCAATAGCATTGTAACCATTTTCCCTCTTGTTCCTCTCAAGTGCATTTTTAACACTGTAGCCAGCTTCATCTTTTAAAAATAAAAATATATATTCATGTTACTTTCCCATTTCAAATGCTTGTTTTGAAGAATATGTTAGGTAATCCATTTAAAGAGTTCAGCACACAGTCCTTTTCATACAATTAGTGCTGTTAAGGTAACGATTTCCTTACAATCATATTAAGCTGTAAGTAAAAAGAATTAGTAGGTCAAGACTAACAAACCTACAGATTTGAGGACAGAGGACTCTTTACTCTCCCAGTAGGTAGGAAAGATGAATTCATTCAGAGTTGAAAGGTTGTATGATGTACAAGGTAAGATGGTGGCCTCCCACTCCCTCTGTATGAATATAAGGACATATAGCATTGTTGATGAGGAACTCTCACTCCGCCTGGCACCCAGAAGTGAGACTAGGCCAATTAGAACAAAAGCACTTGGTAGAATGTAGGGCTAGCCCAGGGGATAGTATTAAAAACAAACTAAGCCAGCTAGAAAACTTGAATAGATTAATGCCATGAAGTGAACTGGAAAAGGTAGTTCAACACTTTCACCTTTAGAAAAGCACCATAGGTAATTCCTGTGATATTTCAGTTGTCCTAGAGCATAAAATACAGTAAAGCTTCCTATCTTGTTCTATGAGACTGACAGACTGATACCAAAACAGAAAAACGTATATGCTGCAATTAGCTTATGAATGTAGATGTTAAAACTTAAACTTATTTTTTAAATATTAAAAAATACAGTAAATGGAAAGCTAGACATATCTCTGTATAGAATGACTCAGTCTGGCAAAGATATTTCTCCCCAAGTTAAATATGTAGATTTACTGATATTCCAATAAAAATCTCCCATGTATTTTTAAGTTGAAAAGCTGATTTCTGACCATCTATAGAATTGTGATATAGCAAGGAATGTAGTAATACATTCCCAATTCATTCATTTAACATTGAGCATTTACTAATGTGTCAGGCACTGTTTCAGGTGCTGGGGATAGAGCAGGATAAAAAATGTACAAAAAGTTTTGCCCTCACAGATGTAGTGGGAGAAGACAAAATTTGAAATACCTACTATGTGATAAGAATGTGATATGTATCATGATGAGAAATGATCTAAAGAGGGAGCTAGGGATTGCTGGGAGGGGGTGCCTTACTACCTCCAGAACTTATGGGCACTAGAGGCAGGGGATGAGGGAAGAACTGGAGGTAACTGTCAGACACAAAGGGCATAATGAGAATACAGTCATGCCTTGCTTAACAATGGGGATACATTCTGAGAAATGCATCGTTAGGTGGTTTTGTGGTGAGAACATCATAGAGTGTACTTGCACAAACCTAGATGGTATAGCCTACTACATACCTAGGCTGTGTGGTACTAATCTTATGGGACCACAGTCATATATGCAGTCTGTTGTTGACTGAAATGTCATTATGTGGGGGGTGACTGTAGTCTTAATAGTTCCAAGGCAGATAATCTACTTTGAGTGTTGCAGGAAGAGAGAATCGATGGTTTAACAAGGATCATCAGAGTTCTATTCACTCTTTATCAATAGTGATTTAGAGGCTTCTGGAAGGTATTATTTTTGGTAACAGCCTTATTGTGATATAATTCACGTACCGTACGATTCACCCACTTAAATTATAGAATTCAGTGACTTTTAGTATGTTCAGAGTTGTGCAACCATCACCACAGTTAATTTTAGAACATTTTCATCATTCAAAAAGAAATCCCCTGCCCTTTAGTAGTTACCCCCACCTCTGGAGGAGTACTCTTACCTGGGGCACCCAGAGCTCTTGGGTTCCCTCTTGACTGCTGCCTACAGCAATATAGAAGGCCATGTGACAAACAAACACATAGAGACAGAGATTGGATTGGTGGTTACCAGAGGGGAAGGGGGGAGGGAGGAGGGCAAAAGGGATAATTAGGCACATATGTGTGGTGATGGATTGTAATTAGTATTTGGGTGGTGAACATGAGAACATGATGTAATCCGTGCAGAAATAGAAGTATAATGATTTACACCTGAAATTTATACAATATTATAAACCAATGTTACTGCAATAAACAAAAAATTTTTTTAAAAAAGGCCACGTGAGGGCAGCTCTTACCAAGAGGACATGACTGCTAGAAAATGCAGCTTTGGGGCTCTCTCTTTTTCTTAGCATAGAGGCTAGGGGATGGGCGGTCTTATCCAGAGCATGTGGAGCTTCTAGATCCTCCTTATATCTGATAAAATGGTTTTTTTATTGCAGTGGGGAAATGATCAAATGGCATTAGGACGCTTAGCTCTCTGGACAGACCTAGATCTATACCTTGCACACTAATGAAGCTCTGAAAGATTAAAGATCTAAATGTAAGATACTCAAGTACAAGAAAAACTTAGACTATTTCTATAACCTTGGTTTGAGGCAGACCTTCTTAAGCATTACACATAACCCAGAAGCTGACATTAAAACTAAACAGCATTTATATGTGGAAAACATCAGCGTCAAAATTAATAGTCAAGGGGGTCGGCCCCGTGGCTTAGCGGTTAAGTGCTCGCGCTCCGCTACTGGCGGCCCGGGTTCGGATCCCGGGCGCGCACCGACGCACCGCTTCTCCGGCCATGCTGAGGCGGCATTCCACATACAGCAACTAGAAGGATGTGCAACTGACATACAACTATCTGCTGGGGCTTTGGGCAAAAAAAGGAGGAGGATTGGCAATAGATGTTAGCTCAGAGCCGGTCTTCCTCAGCAAAAAGAGGAGGATTAGCATGGATGTTAACTCAGGGCTGATCTTCCTCACACACACACACAAAAATTAATAGTCAAATGATAGACTGAAAGAAAATGTTTGCAACAAATATAAGAAAGGGAAGTAACCCCTGACATTCAAAGCACTATTACAAGTCAGTAATAGTAACATCTACAACACAGTAGAAAAATGGACAAAGCTAACAAACAGCTGGTTCAAAGAAGATGAAATAAAAACAGCTAATGAAAATTACCCAATATCACTAGTAATCAATGAAATGAAAAATAAAATGATATATCTACTTTTTTTTCCCAAATAGGTTGATTTTAAATCATAGAAGAGTGATAATATCCAGTTTTGGTGAATGTGTGAAAAACAAGACAATGCCATTGTCAGTTATATAAATTACTGTGTGTGTATACCATTTGAATCAATATTCCTCAGAAACGAAAGTGTACGAAGGTAGGTAAATGTATAATGGCAAAAAATATTTTTCTTAAGGGCAAACTATTAGAAACTATTAGGGTAATGAGTAAATGGGTAAGTTAATCATGGTGTATTCATTCAATAGCATTTTATGGAGCTGTTGAAAAAAGAAATATAGATGTGTATATAGTCATAGAAAGATAGCTGTGCTATATGATATGAAAAAAATTTTTTCATACCTGTATTCTAGTATAAACTCATAATTGTAATATCAAAAATAAAACCTAAAAAATATATTTTTATTTTTCTCTGCCCAGTTTTCCTTGTCTCCTTCTTTTGACTGTACCATCTCCTCTTTTCCTTTGAGTAACTGGCCATACCCTACCATTTGGTCATGATGGACCTGGCCGATCACATTCTCTCTGGAGTTTAAAAGAAGCAGTTGGATCTGTGTCATCCAATGGCAGCTCCCTAAATGGCTGATGTTCTCGTGGTTGTGATCTTTGGAGCCACCCTAGTTTTTGTGCTTTCTAAGGCTGTAATTCCTCAAACTACCCATTATCCTTCCAGTATTTCATTTTTGGCTTATATTGCTCATTTGCTTGCAGTTAAAGAAACAACCAACTCAGAATTTGGTATGAAGATTGAATAATAAGCAATAGAATCTTTGGAAATTTTGAGGTGTTAGAGATTGGTTTTGGGTGAGATGGGGCAAGTAAGATTCCCATTTCTTTTCTAGCCTAGGAAAGTAACAAGTCCTGGTGTGCACTGTGCAAAAACCCAAGTGAATTATTATTAGTTGCAGTCACCTGAGATGAATAGAGGTGAATCTAGGGCCCTGGATAATGACAGTTTAAAGACGAAGAGAAATGGTAAGTCCAAAGACTCTACATGATGCTAGTATCTAACTGCTTTGTGAAAGTTAAAACTCAGATCTTGAATTTCCAGTATCAAGACAAAAAACTTCAACTAAGTGTGTGACATTCTTGAAAGATATCTTATACTGTTTCAAGTCATAGGGTTAAGGTTGCTCAAAACCAAATTGAGAGACTCCTTTTGTGGGTTGCTAAAGTGGGATGCTGGTTGAATTCCATATTTTATTGTAGAGTGGTTGTTACGGAGTGAATCATATATTCCCCCCCCCCCAAATTCATATGTTGAAGCCCTAAACCGCAATGTGACTGTATTTGGAGATAGGGCCTTTAAGGAGGAAATTAAGGTTCAACAAGGTGATAGGGTGGGGCCCTAATCTGACAGAATTAGTGTCCTTATAAGAAGAGGAAGAGACATCAGAGCTACTAGAGAGAAGTTGTGGAGACAACTGAGAAATGTTTCTGGCAACTTACCCCAGAAGGACTGGCCTTGACCTTTACAGGAAGTTGGTCCAGAGGTGACACTGGAGCCGTGTGATAAATTGAGGGAATCAACATTTCTAGATCACAGTGGGAAAAACTCCCACAGCTCACTCTAGATATGGCCTTCACATGAAGCGTTTGTGCTCCTTAGATCCAAGGAGCCTGGAACTCAGAGTACATGTACCTCATAGAATGTTCTGGAACACTCCTCATAAGGGCAATAAGTGGTCATCTCTGGGCTGCTGTTCTTTCAACTAAACATTATGAATACGTTTCCTAAAAGGGGACAGTCTGATTTACAGACGAACCAGAGTAACTCAAATTGGGACTAGCATCATCAAGGATTTCTTTCTACTCAACAGTCCTGAGATTTTAGTTAATATCATCATTGGATTTTAAAATATAGTGTTTTCAGAGGAAATAAGAGACTTCAGTCAAATTCTGAATAATTTTAAAGGAAAAATGATCAAAAGAGAAAATGTCTCTCAAGAAGTTAAATAGACATAACTGGCTTAAAATGAATGTTAACGTTGAAAAATCAAAATAATTTAGAAAGCACACGTTGTTTTGAAAACACACAAAACAGATGTAAGGTTTTCTTGGGGTCCATGAAATCAATTTCGTAAACTTACCAGTTGAAACTGTTTTTTAAAAATCTGCTCTGTGAGTATATCCTTCTTTGGGTAACAAAAATTTAAGTAGCCTAAAAACGTTGCTTTGATAAGTAGAACAAGAAGAACAAGGGTCTTGAGAACAAGACTCAAGATGAAGAGGCGAAATAATCTTTTAAAATGCATGAATGTTTTGTAAATAGCTAAATGCGCAAAGAGTTGCAAATCATTCCAGACTTCCAGATCGTGACAAAGGAAAAAAAATTTACCAGAATCTAATTTTTTAAAAAAAGAAGAAAGAAAAAAGAGAATTGCATGTAAAAATTGGGTACCAGCTGGACTCTCACCCTGGGCTCCTGGTCCTGAGGGTGGGAG